TAAATAGTCATTGTTTTCTCTAATGTTATACGATTTTAAAGGTAAGTTATGATAAATTTAATCAAAAAAAAAAAATATATATATATATATTATTATTGTAATTTAAATGTTTCACAATTTTAAATTTCATGAAATRTTCACACATTAGTGTTATAACAATACCAATAAACATGATATTTATGATTTTTCAATTTTCCTTACAGAAGAAAAATATTGAGAGTAAAATACTGAGATGATACGTTTTTCAAAACTTTTAAATTAATTTGTGTAAAAAGTAGATAAATTACTATTTTTGTATAAATTATCAACCGAAATATTTTTTCAATTTCAACATTCGTTTTTAATATTATAAACGAATAATCGACGTGAACATTTTCAGGGAATCCTTCTTTATAATAGTATAATAYCAATTTAATTATAATAATACATTATAATGTATTAAAACCACTTAAATCTTATTACTGCAGTTTACGAATAAGCTGGGCAGGGTCCGGATTACCGACGAAGTTCAAAGCGTCAGGACCGAAGTGGCCAAGTTGAAAAACGCTGGGGTGGAGTTCATAATAGCGCTGGGGCATTCGGGTCTCGAAATGGACAGACGAGTGGCCAGAGAAGTCGACGGCGTGGACGCAGTCGTCGGAGGACATTCACATTCGTATCTGATCAGCGGTAAGTCAATTGTAGTTATTAGCGAGAGCAACCTAAGATTGCAGGGAATACTTTATGTTCCCTAAAAAATTCACTTAATATTTTTTTTATTTCAAACACGTTTATAGCCATATTAATTTTTTTTATTAGTTATAAAAAAAACTGGTTTGCAAAATTTAAAAATTAATACGCGGAATTGTAATCTAAAAAAAGAATTATTGTTTTTTTAATTAATCATCATCATTTGTAATTTTGATTTTATCATCTTACGAATTCGTTTGACAAATTAAGATTAATATTACTCGATGAGGTACTTACAATCTTTGTTAGACAATCTATATTTATTATTTTTTATATTTTTTTATCACAACATTTATTATAAAACATGGTATACAGAGTAATTTGTAAAGCATAATAACCTCATTGCAATATAACATGCATTTATTCAAGTTCTGTTTTCGTTAAAATTAAAATTATTGATTATAGTTAAAGACCGTATTATTTTTGAGTATTTAGATTTTTGACTGCTCATAAAGAATATAAAACTTTAGCTTTTCAGATCAGAACCTAAAAGAAGTTTTAATGCAAATTGTAAATCAGGGGATTTTTGAAAATTTGGATGTAGTGTAATCGAAATTTGAACAATAGGGTTTAGGGCAGTTTTTCTTACAATACCTACTGAGAACAAAAGACTTATTATGAATATTATTTTATAAATAAGCTTTATTATTATAATTAAGAATGCAATGTTAAATATTTGTTAGTGATTATTATAACTATTAGTGTGTTAGGTGTGCTCAGTCAACAAAACATGATAGTAGATTAGGTAATCGAAAACAGACAAACGAGATTTTTAAAACGAAACTAAATAATATCATTTTTCTTTGACTATCATCCTTAGTATTTAAAATAGAATAACTAAGAAATGGGTTTTGATAAGTTTTGAATACCTACAATAATACGTCAACATTTTCAGAAAAATGATCTTATTAAAATGTTTGTAGGTACTAAGCGTAATTGGGCTTAATAACAGCTTACAAAAATTAAAAAAAGATGTGATATTAGATCTAGTATTTATTAAAATATTAAAATGGTACCTGGACTATTTTTAGAAATTACCAATGTTATTAATATATTAATTACTAAATTTCCAAACCACTATAGCCCTCTCATATATTACAAAATTACAAACCCATTATCCTTAGCACACAAATTTAGATAGGTAATTCAAAAGTTCTGGTACAAATTTTGATTCCTAAATGGACTTTAAGCTGAGGAAGAAGAAGGTGTTATACCTAGAATATTGTGCTGTGATACGCGCGAGAGTGTTAACTTTATAATATATACAGCAAGCATCGTCATCATCATCACTATAGGGAATAATTGTTAACAAGCTGCATTTATTTTTATTATTTATTATATGTTTTTACATAATATAGGTAATATAATAATATCTACCTTGTACCTAGTCATGACGATCTCTTGTAGGTATATAATGTATGGTTTTGAACGAYATTGTGGATATAGTCATACGCGGCGTCAAGGTGCAGTGTTTTGTTTAGACCGCAAGCCTACATATACACATCTTATATACATATTATGTACATGAATATTTATATATGTATAGTTTTATGATATTATAATAGAATAGAACATAATATATAGAGCCGCAACGCAGTTGTTTCCCGCGGGAGAACAACAAAATTATCCGAACCTCGGGCGCACAATATAATAATATCACAAGAAAAGGTTAACAACCCTTATTATTATTATTATTATTATCCGACCGGCGCGTTGTGCAGCTCACAAGGAGTGAATCGCATTCCGGTAGATCACCTGTTGCATGTACATATATGTATTATRTATGTATGTGTATGACACAACAGCTGTTTCTCAACACCCACCCATCGTTTTCGTAGATCTTTCTCGCGAGTTTATAAAAAAAAAAAACAAATCGTCGTCCATCAAAAACAAGCGTGTAATATTATATTATATATAATTTATAGCTATCGGTTTGGGATATTGAATATTCGTTATGAATAATCGTGTGTACCATTACCTATATGATATTACATATAGGATGATTTTTTAAGTATGCTCATCCTATTTGTATGGTTAAATTACGCGTCTATTATAATTTAGATTTTTGGAATTTTTAAATACAATTGAAGACCATTTTTCGAATCAATGACATTTATTATAYCACTTAAGGATACCTAATCCTGTCACAATACAAACCTCGGTTTTTGAAAACCTCTCTTTTTTATTTTTATATTAATAAGCAGGTTTTTTGTTGAGAATTTTGATGTATCTAAATCAATGAATTATGTAGCTTTGTGTTTTAATATGTCTATGGTAATGCATTAAGTAGATAGGGGGCTTAGACGATTTGAGAAAGTTAGCAATTACTATTGATTCATCAATATCAATAATTGTAAGAATCATCCAAGTATAATAAACTACCTTACATATTATAGTTTTCATTTTTGTAAAACCATCTTTAAGGATTACCATCCTAAACCATTTTTCTAACTCAGAAACCACTTATTAGAATTTTGATTYGAATACGCCAATATTTTCAAAAAAAGTATCCGCAAAATGACTACCAGTAAAAAAGATTGATTCTAATTTGAAAAATAGAAGTTTGTATTACCTCAGTATATTCCAATTAGTTTAAAAAAATATCAGAAATTTTAAAATATAGTATTTTTATGGTCTACCTAAAATCCTAAAAATCAGAATATAAATAAAACAAATGTACTATTAAAGGGAAAAATGTGAGTGAGAGTGCTTTAGTTTCACTCTGTATATGAACCTACCTCCTTACCGGCTGCATACGAATTGCGTCCCAGGTATTTTGTAGGGTCATACTAACTAATTGCATCCCAGTTATTTTTCGGAGTTATACTAGTTGCGTCCTGAATTTTTTTGTGCATACCAAATGCTTCTCTTATATTTTAAAAACTAAATAATATTTCCTTTCTCATTTTTATACAGACTTAGAACTGTCTGTAATAATATTTACATAATAACTACTACTATAGGTAGGTTAAAAATATTGTTTTTGGTTTTTATATTATTTATTGCATTTGTAATTTTAAATGTATAAAAATATTAAAAAATATAGAAAAATAAACTGCAGTAAAAAAAAAAATGTATAATAATAACTGTATAAAAATATAAGCGTAAGTAGTAAAAAATATTATGATATTGGTAAAAATTTAAAGATAACTTTTTTATGAATTCGAATCTACTATTTTTTTTTTTTGATTGAAAATCTGCCATTGCTTGTTTTAAACATTGTTCTCTATTAATCATCGAGATTGTGCGGTTCTTTAAATGAGTGTCCGTTGTTTTATATAAATATCAGTTTGTGACCTTTTCAGAATATTTATAAATTGAAAAATGTTTGGATGTGCATTATAAAACATATCGTTGAACTTCAAATTAAAAGCTTCACAACTATTAGTAGTTCGTATAGTTGTATCCGAGTATTCTGCCCATAATGTGGACGCAATTCAACCGTTCTTGAGAAAAACCTGGGACGCAATTATTATTATACCTTTTTATACGGGACGCAATTCGTACGCACCGTCCCTACCTATACCGTAAAAATCGTGTAATCAGACGTAATTAATATGCCTATATCTAATAAGTAATAAATGACATGTTTACATAAATAACAATATTAATGTTGTGGACACACACAGAATATTATTGTGTTAGTTTGAATTTATGTCAACATAAAACTGTGGGTGCATAGAGTATTTATTTTTTTAAGATAATATAAAAATACTAAAGTTTTAACCTATATATAAATGCAAATGATTGATATCAGTTTTATTTCGATATTTCAAAGCGTTGGTGGTCCTAAGAGGTGGGGAGGAATGGTCTCTGTTTGATATTTTATGTTAATAGCTATCATTTTTTTTTTATTATTATTATTTAATATCGGTAAAGATTACTAGGCCTCACTGAGTTTAAACTCGTGTGGAGGCCTAGGAGTTATCTTATATACAACACATTTACATTTATCATTTTCTCCTTAAATACCTACTCAAATATACAATAAAAAATCAATAACAGAAATACAATAATAACATTATTAGTTTTAAGTCTTTTTATACAAAAAGAACATTAAGTTTGAATTTTGATTTAAACGCACCATGATTTTCAAAAAAAGTTGCGTGCTCAATTATTTGTATGAAAAAAGTGGTCCTCGTTTGAAAAAAAATACCGATGTTAAGTGGGTCAAACAAAATTTTTTTTTTTTACTTCAGGCCCTCCGCAGGATGAYGAAATTCCAGTTGGACCATATCCCGTGATTGAAAAAAGAGGAGAACAAATTGTGCCCGTGGTGCAAGCGTATGCGTTCGCAAAATACTTGGGGAAATTGGTTTTGACTTTCAACGGTGAAAAACGTTTGGTCAGTGCCGTTGGTGGCCCAATTTTTCTGGACAAAACCGTTCCTCAGGGTAGGTATAATAGTTAATAATGTTATAATTATAATATATGCAGCTTCATAGACGCACATTCAGTCTTAAACTTGAGAGCTAAAATATTTTACCTCAAAGTGACTTGTGGGTGACTTTGCTCTCCCTGCGCCACCTATACGGTAACATTTACCATTTCAAACAAAATTACAATATGACTACATTAAAAGTCTCAAATTAATGAATCTTATTTTCAATATATATCCTATATCCTATAACCAATCATTATAACGACTAGGTATTATAATATTCTTTGATGAACAAATGTTGCAATTTGCAATCAGGGTCGTCWACATTTTCACCACTTTCATCTTTTTACTCAATTTAAATGTACTGAAAATATTGAAACAAGCAATATTATAATATAAATGTATAAATGTAAATTTAATATATAAAATATTACATTTACTAATTGACACTGCATTAATAAATTGTTGGTATTTATGTAGAAAAATGAAATTAATGATAAAATATCACTTGTCAGTGAAGTTGTCACTGAATCGAAAACATTATATTAAAAAACTACTGACTAAGAATATATGGTTGAAAATTCCTATGTTATCAAACTAAAGAATTTTAATTATTATCATCATTTTCATATTAATAAATCATCATTTCGGTAGACAGTACCTATACGAAAACATTTTTAAGTAAAAATTTGCACATTACTAATATAAACTGGAATTATTTTTTTCTAAATGCATTACACTTCAAACAATATTTTTAACTCAAAATAATTTGGGGGCGCTAATTCAAAACTTAGGGATGCTAAGCAACCCCTGAGACCCCCATATGTGTGCCAATGTACATGTTACTTAACGAGACACTTATATTAGCTGATGTCTGCAGCTAGCTTGTTTGAGTGTTTGTTGAAAAATTAACGCTTATAAATTTCAGACGCAAAAATGTTGGATAAGGTCGAATACTACAAACGGCTGTTGGCTGAAAAATTTGTCAACCAAGCTGTCGGAAAAACGGTAGTATTTTTGGATGGCAACTGTAAGTGCGTGGAGACCAATTTAGCCAATTTGATTGCCGATTCATTTATACGGGCGGTGAGTATGTGGCGTGGCTGGATGCTGGAATAGTAACGCACTAAAAAATAGATACAAAAATCACTTTAAAATATTAATATTCCTATACACACGGTATATAAAAATATATTTAATACACAAAAAAATATATATATATGATAAGTCTAACAAAAACGTGTTTTATAACTATATTGTGAATATGTTTTCAGAAGGCACCAAATAAAAGTATGGTTATCGCCTTTTTAATTATTTGTTGGTATAAAAACGACGKTTGGGGAGTATTTCATGATTAACTCTAAGATTTTAAAATTGCAATAAATTTATTTTTTGTAATATTTCATAATACTTTCGTGAAATATTTAATTTATATGTGAAAAATATAAATTTATATTTTATCTAAAAGTTTAATCATATATAAATATAATAAATAATAGACAACTATAAGGGGTGATAAACGATAAATTAACCAATAATATAATACCATTTATTTATTTAACCTAACCTACATACATACCTAGTGGTTCTTAAACGTTGGTTGATAATAAGTCATTAATTACTGATATTTTATATGTGTAATCAATAATCATTTCAAATCGTCTATCACAAAATACGCTTACAAGGATAAATTTGCGAAATTTCATTGAAAATTTCAATATAAGTAAAATTTTCAATTTTGAAATATTTCAATTGAAAAAATGTCAAATTCAGAGCTCTTTATTACAACTATAGGTAGGTACATGATTGACTGTGCCTGTCCACTGTGTACTAGTTTTAGTTCTGAAATTCTTACGTTCCCTTAGAAATAATAAACTAATGTGCTAACAATTTGAAAAACACCCTTAAAAGTTTAATTTATTTAAAAAAAATAGTCAATTTCCCTTTACAAGGAAAACAAATTTCCCAGAGATAAATCGATTTCCCTCACAAGAAACTTATCTGTTATTATAATAATTATTATTAATTACTAATTGATTTATATACAGTTAGGTCACAATCATTATAAAAAATTTCAAAAATTACGGAGTTTAAATATCTAACAATAAATACCTATAAATATATATTATCTGCATTAACAATTTATAGTCCATTTTTTGTTGGCCGATGTAAAATGTATGATCTCCGCGACATTATTCGACAACAACAATACATAATTGAGAAACCATTAGCTATCTTTTTTTCCTATACCACTTTCACTATTTAAAACATTTTTAAATTTTATAATCAATATTCAATCATATTTTACTTCATAACTGTTAATGTCTTATTATATTCAAATATATATTTCAGAACTTGAACAACTTATTGAAAAACAATGTGACCCTAAGTGGTTGGACCGATGCCGCTATCGCAATTACTGTGAGTAGTAGCATTCATAATTCAATAGATTCCTCAAAAACACAAGGTAATTATAATATAATGTTAATAATTTTACAATCACAAACATTATTTAATTTAATTTYAATAGGTATAATAAATGCATATTATTAATTACATCTCTAAATTCATTATTAGGGGGCATATCTCAAGAATGCTTGCACCAGTTTTTTAATTTAGTAATTATATAATTAAAATTCTAATTTTTGAAATTTATTAGTACCTACCTATAATATTATATATTATCTTATTATTAATTAAAACATCCATTTTTTCAACTATTTAGAGTGTTGCGTATCATTTAAGCCCAGCAATATATTTCTTCCCAAACAACAATCACCAATTATTGTTAGTCAGACGATTTTTGTTTTAAATGTTTATAAATGTCTATTTTTTTTTTTTTTTTCAAATGTATTGTAAACACGTGTTTACTTCCCCTTTTTTTTAAACATTTTCAACGATTGTAGGCCAAATTTAATTATTGTTGGTAATATGATTGAAACATAATATAGTTAGGTATATTGTATCTCACCAGATATTATAGTTATAGAACTTGTTTTAATTTTGAAGCTAAGCTTAATGTTTCAAATCACTTTATTTTTATCAAATAGTTGAACTATGATTTGTAAAAAAAAGGGGAAGTGGATATCGCTCTGCTGTACAGTAGGTTACAAGTGGGTTACTGTAATGGATGGAATTAAATTTGAATCCAATAATATTATATCATTGTATACGAAAAACGATTCTGAGCGGAGACGGTTTATCTGTCTAGAATATATTATAGATTATTAAAAATGTTCAAATCTTAGATTTAAAAAGAAATACTTTAATGAATTTCTATCTAAGAGAATTTGAACATTGCCGTAATTTTTATGTATTTAGTCAAAATTTGATCTTTAAATGCTTATAAAAAAATCGTACCTATGTATTTTTAATATTTTTCAACTGCTATTGAAACAATATGTTGGAAGCCTTACATTAAATTTTGAAGCTTTTTGACCCCACCAATACAATTTAAATGACATTAATAGAAAAAAAAACTAAAAAAGTTGAARAATWAAAATGTCAGTAAACAGCTAAAAACTAATCAAAATATTTTGAAAATTTTATAGAAAATGCTTATATAAATATTCAGTGAAAATTTCAAGTATCTGCGAACATTTGTTTTAGAGTTACACGAAAATAAGAAAATTGATAAATGAGAAATCTAGTGAAAATCAAGTTGTAAAAATTTAAATTTCAAACGCTCATAAGAACTTAATTTGACTTTCTGGTGGATATTTATTTTATGATAAAGGTTGACAAACTTGTAAGAAATCTTGTATTAAAATTTCAAATCTTAGATTTAAAAAAAATTTTTTATGAATTTCTAGCTTAAAATAATTTGCAAATTTTTATGATTTTTCGTATTTTGTCAAAATTCATACTTTAACAATAATAATGACTATGTATTTCTTTTATTTTTCAACTACTACTGTAACAATATGTTATGAGACTTTTATTAAATTTTCAAGCTTTTCTAATAAATAAATTGATATCGATATTAATTTTAAAAAAAACTTATTATGATCGAAAATTGCATATGCCTWTAAATAGTTCAACTTAAGACGAAATTTTTGATAGTTGCATGGTGGAAAAAACTAATAATGATTGAAAATTTCAAATGCCTATGAATAGTTCAACTTAAGTCGAACATTTTTGAAAATTGCATAGCGGATAGAATATACTTATATAAACATTCGGTGAAAATTTTATGTACCTATGGTAATTTGTTTTAAAGTTACATAAAAACCAAAATCGATTTTGTCGAAAACTGATAGTGCGTAAAATTTCCCGTTTTCCCCTTAATTGTTAGTTGGTTTATCCCAATTATTTTGAAAAATATTGAGAATTTTGTATTTTTGAACCCCCCAAAGTACCAACTGGATTCACTTTCTGATCTAACAAGGTACTGAAGTCGAAAATCGAAGCATTTTTACTGCCCCAAAATGCGATGACTGACACAAAAACAAAAAAAAAACACACATCATGGTAAAATCAAGTAATAACTTTATGGAAATAATATGTCAATCTGATAGTATTACTTTGTTATTAAATAACATTTGTAAAATCTATAAAACGAAATATGTTCGTCAGTTCAGTTCAGTTCAGTTAATAGACATTTTTTTACGCATATTTTACAAACCCTGAAACCCAAAACTAATTTTTRGATTATAACAATAGAACAAATATTTAAACTTTATAGTTTTATACAGTATATTATTGTATTTCATCGAACTTTTCATTTCTAAAAAAAAGAACAGTAGTTACATATAAATAATAACTAATAAGTAATAAATACTTAAAAATAATGAAATGGTTTTTGTTTATTTTTACACTTGTTGGATTTTTTCCCGAAATGACGACTTCRGTCGTCACTTCTTGTCGATTACAATAATATACCCATATAGGTATAGACATAATGCTAGCTATATAGTCATAAAGGGACTATATTATTATTATTTATTGATATAAATTATTTAATATTATAAAATCTTTTATTATAAATATATAAAATAATTTCTGATGTATACACTATAAAGGATGTTCCTTTAAAGTACAGTGATTGGAAAAATAAATTTTTTAACTAACAAATCACGGTAAATATTTTTGGCATAAAAATTAAATAGATTGAAATAGTGAAATGTAAAAAATTAACTTAACTTCATCCATAAAATGAAAATTAACTCGTTAATTTCAAGTTTAAAAAATAAATTTAATAAGATAATAATTAATTTAACGAATATTCAAAAGTAACAATAGTTATAAGTTAAAAAGTCAAAATTAAATTAAATTTTTAACTCGTTAATGCCCAGCCTTGAATATATTTACACTTTTCGCATGGTCCGTTTACCATTTTATAGTAATATGTAGGTTGTTTTAAAGGATATTTCATATTTATCTCAGTACATAAAAATTTTACTCGCAATAACCAAACGTTTTCATTATAATAATTGAAAAAAAATACTTCTTTAATTGTTTCTTTCACGGAAATTAACAAAATAATAATAGTAACACAATAACTTCTCCAAATCGTTACCAGGAATTCGAATATAAAATCACCTATGTATGGAAAAAAAAATATGTTCGATACGAAAATTAAATCAAGGTTAATGGATAAAAAACAACTCTTCTTATTAATTAATTTATTTTCCATTGTTGATTATAATATATGCTAGTCCAACTTGATAGGCAAGAATTTGATTTGTTAAGCTCAAAATAAAGTAATAGATATGTACCCACGAATGCATTTGAAGATTCATAACGCTACTGATTAATACAATTAATTTATAAGAGCATCTTGAATTTCTATTTAAATACATAACAATTCTAAACAAAAAATATCTGTTTATAAATAAAAAAGGAAGGTTCCTATATGAAAAACTGAAGTTTATATTGTCACAGGGTCGCCTTTAAGTGGTACAAAAAATATCAATGATTCGAATAATGGTCTTAAAGTGTGTTTAAAAATTCCAAAAATCTGAATTTGTGCGTATAATTTAATTATAAACATAGTATATGCCTGCTCAAAAAATCAGGCAGAAAATTGTTTTCTTGTTGTCCTACTTGTAATTAATCATTAGGATATAAAAAGACCTTTTTTCGACAGTCATAATTCTATAGATAATTATGATAGATAAATATGGACTTTTGAAAATAGAGAATGTAGGTATTCAAAAATGCTATGATTTTCTGGTGATCCAGAAATATAAACTTGCAGCACAAAATTTGAAATGTCGTGATGCAAGTGTTACATTTGCATGTTAAATTATTGAAAACGAGATTTTATATGTTCTATATTTGTAAATAATATTAATTATTTTTTAAATATTCACATTGATTCGTATATCATCAGGTGTTATATATGAAGATGACATTAAGCGCACGTTACCATACAAAACTCCTCTGTGCAAAGTGACCATTACTGGAATGACGCTGCTGAAATCACTTGAGCATAGTGCATCCATGTATGATTACAGAAACTGTTCAAACCCGGAAAATAAATTATATGGTGGTTTCATGCACATGTCAGGTAAATTCTGGTCAAATTTACTGATTTTCCGACTCGCCAGCTTTTAAGTTAATAATAATATAGTCTTAATAGTGTTACATTTATTTTTGTTCTGACTATTGCGAAATAAATAAAAAGCAACTAGCAATTTTTTTTTTTAAATAATGTGATTATATTTTAATCATCAATGCAAATAACAACTAAGAAAATTTGATAGAAACTGTATTCATTTCACACAAAAACAAAAATATACATAAAAAATACACTTTAGTAATATTGATAGACATTCGATGATATAAACCTTTATTAAAAGAATATATTAATTTATTAACAATAAGATACGTACCTATAACAAATGTATAGTACTTAAATGTGACATTGGAATTTTAGTAAATACTAATTAGGCATCTACTGTTGTTTCCTACTATTGTACAAATCAATAATTAAAATTCAAAAAAAACTTTCGAATGAATTTGGAATTTAAACCACTCCAAATATTAATTGACTTTGTTCTTAAAATATGTTTTTTGTCTAAAGTGTGATAATTAAATTCATAATACTTTACTAATCTTTTATTGAAAATCAAAATACTTTCTGAACGGATGCGCATCATTTGTTTCCACTTTTAAATACAATTTGAATAATATCTTTTACGAGAATGTCAGTCAGTMAGTCGGTATAACTGTCGACAAAATACTGATTCCTATGCATTTTCACAAATCCGATTCGAATATATTTGTCACTCTGTGCGTAGTTCAATATAATATAATCGGAAGTCGTTGAAATTGGAATTTATATATTATATTTAATAGTGAAACAGTATCATAGCTCACGGCTCATTTTCTTTTTACTTTTCCCCCAGGAATGCATGTCACTTATGACAAGAAAAATCGCGTTGGATCGAGGGTGAAGTCTGTGACGATACGGTGCTCAGAATGTAAGTTGCCATCATACGAGCCGATCAAACTAGATAAAAAGTACACGTTAATTATGCCCAAGTACATAGCAAGTGGCGGTGAACGCTATGAAATGATCAAGGACGAACTCATTAGCATCAGCTGTTCAGGTGAGTGAACATACCTAGTCAATAACTATAATATAGGATCGTCGTGAAATTTGTTTTTTCGAAATATTTCATAATATGTTTGAAAAATAAAAATCTGTATTATATCTAAAAGATTATAGTTATTCACTTACAGTAAGGGGAAATTTACCAAAATTAGTTTATTGTATCGAATACTGATACATAATTGATAAGTTATGTATTGACCTATAATACCATTTATATATCTAATTTATAATCATTGACAAAATAGTTTATGTAAGAACCTACTCTAATTAATACGCATAGGTATATACATTTTTTTTTAAAATAGTAAGACATCCATTATATTATGGTTATTTGTTAAGCTTTAATGAAAAGGTAAAATGATTAATTTTACATGAACAAAGTAACTTATTTTTAACTAAGTTAAGTTAAAAATTTATTCAAATTATAACTTTCGACTTTTAATTGCATCACTCTTGTGGCGACCGTTGACCATGAATTATAGTTTACCACTAAACTATTCCATAATTCAAAATTATTTGATCAAGCAATTCTGCTCCGATTTTTTTCAATTAAAACGTGTTTCTCAACCGAAACAGTTTTGTTTCGATTGCGCAACGTATTCGATAAGCGATAAATCATCATGCCATCACAAAAATCCTTATCATTCCTAAGGCACGTATACAGAGATAGCAAAACCAATTTTCAAATTCTGATTCCAACAGCGGCTGGATCATCCTCACTCCAGAAAAACGGCCAATTGTATCTCCATCTACTCCAAATTCAAGGCCACAATCAACAACAAAAGTATTTGTTACTCAAAATCGATTTTCCTTATTTTCGGATCCGACCGACGTGTCCGTACTCCGTAAACAATCCAGAACCCGAAAAAATGGATCAAGAATCTTAGAACTAAGATAACTCTTCCACACTAACCAAATCTCCTCCACTTATTTTTATTCTTGTGGTTACTGATTACATAGTTTTCTCTGACAACATCAAGCAAATTACGAAAGGAGAACCTTTCTGTTCTATAAATGGCATCAAACTCTCTACAAGCTCACCAAATTCGTATCGAGCTGTCATTAAATTTCTACAAACTAATAAATCTACTTTTCATACATAGGTACCAACTAAAACAAGACAGAGCCTTTAAGAATAGTTTTTAGAAATCTAAACCACTCAACACCAATTACTGAAATAAAAAAAAACTCACATCTCTCGGACACATGGCTCGGAACGTCACAAATATTTTACATAGAATCACCAGAAAAACCCTTCCGCTCTTTTTCGTCGATTCGGAGCCTGATATCAACAAAGATGTCTTTAAAATTGATCACCTTTATTATAGTAAGATAAAAATTGAAGTGCCTCAAACTAACAACCATCTAATCCAATGTCTCCGTTTCCAAGGCTTCAACCATACAAAATCATAATTCAACCACACTCCAAAAAGTGTTTGTTGTGGTAATTCTCACGCGTCAGAAGGCCGTGTAAAACCTGCTGACCAACCAGCAACATGCGTACTATTTAGTAGTGACCGCCCGCCCAATTATAGAAGATGACCTGTGTTCAAAAAAATCCAGGCTGTCCACAGTCTCAAGAACTCAAATCCAATTCATAATAACTAATTATACCCTCTAATGCAAAATCTACTAATGTAAACTCTACTTCCTATATGAACAGTGAACACCCAACCTAAAAATCATTTTCTCAAACTACAACTGATTTACCGAGCGAAGACATTCCTCCTAACTCATACCAAAGTCCCGAACATCTAGCCAACCAAATGGTGATTTTTCTCAATAACTTCCAAGCCAAATTAATCCGCTAACCTCTCTTCTTACTACTCTCATAAAAAAACTAATGCTGTCTGATGGTAAATAGACTAAATAATACTTATCACTCTATCTTAATCCTTCAATGGAATGCCAATGAACTAGCACACCAAAAAAATGAACTGCATGCCTTCCTTTCAAACAATTCGATTAATGTTTTACTCATCTGTGAAGCATACTTGACTCCAAACTCCTCCTTTAACATTTCTGGCTATACTGCATATCAATGTAACCATCCCGATAGTTCATCCCACGTAGGTTCTGCAATATTATTAAAGTCAAAAATTAAACATACCATTCTCCCAGCATATCAAAATAATGTCTTAAAGTCCACTAAAATCCTCCTAACACTAAATTATATCCCTACCACTATTCCATCGACTTGCATCCGTCCAGTAGCTAAATTAAATCTCATGTATTTTGATCATTTTTTAACTTCCTCGGTAATCACTTCTTGGTGGGTGGGGAATTCAAAGCTAAACATCCCCGGTGGGGTTTTAGCCAACCTAATATCAGAGGTCGAACTCTCAACAAATTTACTCTCAAAATCTTAAAATAATATCCCCTCCTCACCCTACTTATTGGCTCTCACATGTCAATAGACATCCCGACATTCTGAACTTTTTTATCACTACTCCCCCTAAACATATTAAGTACACTATTACCAGTTCCTCAGACCTCTTTTCCAACCACACACCAATATTACTCACCCTAAACGACACTCCAACTGCTACAAAAATCTACCCAACAATTACTCCGGGTAAAACAAACTGGGAAAAATTTAGTCAAATCATAGAAAAAGCCATCACTCTAAACAGTCTAAACATCCCCTTAAAAATCTCATCTGACATAAATACTGCCATACTTTCCTTCTCAAATAGCATACACGATAATGCACTCGACGCATCACAAAACAATCATAACACCACTCACAAAACCAATGTCTTTCCCTCACACATAACGCAATTCATTACAGAAAAGCGTCGTACCTGCCGTATATGGCAAAGAACACACTTGCAAAGCGATAAAATACATTTCAATTTTCTCACTAGCTCCTTAAAAAATATTCCCCGAATATACGTATAATTCTGAACAATTTCACAGATACTTGGAACCTCTCTCTAKTGCAGACAACTCACATTGAAAAGCCACTAAAAAAATCTTAAAGGAAAAACCCTACGGTTTCCCGAAACTCCCTAGCATCATCAAATCTTGACGAAGCAAACTTATTCGGATTAGACCTTTCCCCCCCTCCCCCGTATTAAATCACCGCAGGGGAGCTGAACTGTTTTCACATTGATTAGCTCCCATGAGGCATCGTTTATTTTTAAAAAATGTACAACTACTATGATTTTGGCTCACACGAGACAAAACAAACCTTCCTCAGCGATGGCCGGTATGTATGCGCTTGCTTCAATCTCGTGATACCTTACAAAATATGTACACATTTGGTTAGGGAATGCCAGGTGGCCTGTCCTCCCCTTAACATATTAAGCTATGTCATGCTTGATTGAGGTCTTCTCGGACCGGTCAGTCGTCCTAGACATCGAGTTCAGTGTCTTCTCGGACCGGCCTAAGCCAGCCGTCCTAGACTTCRCGTTCACCCTGTCCTGTTCTCGAGTAGGCCAGAGCCCTCTATTCTAGCAAACTCGTTCTGCTGATCATCCGACTACAGCCGCTGCCACCTGCCGGGCCCTTTCCTCGACTTCTTTAAGTGTCAGTATCTCTTCTACCATTTTGTAGAAGAGCCTGAGTGTTTCTTCTGCATCTCGTAAGACTTAATCCCTTTCTTGATGGTTCACCGGGAGATCTTCAAAGAGGGGTCCGCAAAGTATGTTCTCCGCGTCGCCCGCCTCGGGAGGGTGGCCCAGTCGATTTCGAAGGTCCCCGCGGAAGCCACTCCAGTTTTCACAGTGAATGATCGTGTGTTCAGCAGTGTCCGAGCCGTTGGGGCAGTGCTTGCAGCGGGGGCTATCGGCTCTGCCCATGCGATGGAGGTACCACTGGAAGCACCCATGACCTGTTAGCGCCTGAGTCATGTGATAGGACCACGGGACCACGGGAGTCGTCCTATTCTCCCATCTTACGATGTTCGGTATAAGAYGACGGGTCCAAGAGGCCTTTCTGGAATCAGACCACTTCCTCTGCCATTCGTTGATTGTAACCTTTCTTTCGTCTCTTTTTATCCTAGCCCTGGAGAGAGGTGGGTCACCTGGCACAGGATCCGCAGACGCCCTAGCCCTTTCGTCAGCTACGAGATAACCAGTGGCATGCAGCTAGCAGGAGGGCGGCTTCGTCGGAAACCGTCCTATAGGCCCTTATGGCCCTCAGTGCGGCGACTCTCTGCGATCTCCTCGTAATGGTTCTAGCCTTGGCCGTAACGTTTAATTCAGACGACCAGACTGGCGCGGCGTAGAGTAACTGACTCTCTACCACAGAGCAGAGGAGCCTCCTCTTCCATTGGCAGGGCCCTCCGATGTTAGGCATTAGCCTAGAAATGGCCGTAGCTTAAATGGCTGCCTTTGCAGCTACCATCTCTGCGTGTTTCACGAAAGAGAGACGTGAGTCAAGGATTACCCCGAGGTATCTTATGTGCTTGCTCAGTTGGATTGGAATGCCACCTATGCTTAGCCGAGGTGGATTGTGGGCCCACTTCTTTGTCAGAATGACGGCCTCAGTCTTGTGATGGGCTAACTGCAGTCCTCGACTTAGTATCCAGCCGTCTATCCGTTCTAGAACTGGATTGACGAGGTCCTCCAGGAGCCGGCCAGTCCTGGCCACTCCGACTATGGTGAGGTCATCTGCGAACCCGATCATCTGAACACCTAGGGGGACTTCCATTTCCAACAGATGGTCGTATGCGACGTTCCAAAGGGTCGGTCCTAGAACCATGCCCTGTGGGACCCCGCACGTAACTGCCCTCCTGATCCTCTGATCACCTACCAGCAATTCTCTCTCGGATAACCATGAGCGAATCATCCGCACTAAGTACTCCGGGGTGCTCTTATTCCTAAGGGCTTCATCAATCACAGGTCATTGCAGGGAGTTGAAGGCGTTCTTCACGTCAAGGGTAACCAAAACGCAAAGTTCCTTCTGCCTCCAGTTTCCCGTGGCCGCGTGAGCCGCGAGCTTGGTAACTACCTCTACTGCTGTCTCGGTTGAGATACGGAAGCCAAACTG